TTCAGCAACTCAAAACTACCTAATTTTTCCATGCAAATATTATTTGCCAAGTAATGCAGATCAATCATGAAATCACTCGACAAATCCAGCCAGACTCATTCATTCACAAAAAAAAAATCTTACCAAAAAATATGCGTCATGTATAAAAAAATCTAGCAATCGTCCACATGTCAATCATCATATTGGAGCACACTGGCTATGTTTGATTTATGTCTGACATGCTTGGGCTCAACTGGTCCCATTCAAAATGATCTGCTGGGTTATTGCTTATTTCTCAAGTGTTAAGATTGTACAATTTCAAAGAATCCCAAAAACGGAGTAATCAAGAGGAGGCACAGGATAATGAACAAACAAGTAACTATTTGGATTCATGCTACAGATGGCAGGCAGGTGGTTGCCTTCTGTATGAGTTTATTGACATTGTGTGTAGAGAGATTGGGAAGTGCATTAGACTGCATCAAGAACTGAGGTTTGGCAGATAGAACATCTAACTTAATAAAGACATTATATAAATAAAGTCCCCTGGCACTTTACAGGAGCATTGTGAAAGAAAATTTGACAACAAGCTGCTTAAGGAAACATTTGGACAGATGACAAAGCTTGGTCAAAGGAGCAGGTTTGAAGGAGAAAAGTGAGGCAGAGATGATAGGAAGGAAAGCCAGAGATTGGGGCCTAGCCAACTGAAGGCACTGCCACCAATGATGAAGCACTCACAATTCAAAAGAGGCCAGAATTAGAACAGAACAGATATCTGGAAGGCTGTTGGGCTGCAGTAATTAGAGACAGGGAGGGAGATAGATTAGAAAACAGGGATGAAAGTTTTTACATCAAGAGGTGCTTGACAGGGAGCCAATGTAGGCCAGTGAGCAAAGGCCTAATAAGAGAACAGGGCTTGCTGTGATTTATAACAAGGGTAGCAAAGTTTTGGGTGACCTCAAGTTTATGGAGTGCAGAATGTAAAGATAAGTCAGGAGTACATTGGAAAGGAAGTAACCAAAGCATGAATTTAAAAATTCAGAAGAGTTGAGATGGGGTCAGCAATGGGCAATGTTATGGAGGTGAAAATAGGCTGTCCCAGTGGATGCCATGAGCAGAGCTCGCCTCAGAATCTAACATGAAATCAAGGCTGCAATAATTAATCTCAAGACTGTTGCTAGGAAAGGAAGATGGGAGCAGAGCAGAGAAATTGTGCAGTAAAGCAGGTATATTAATGGTACGTTCCACTGCTAAATCCAATTTTAAATTGTACTGAACATTTACATTTAAAAACATTTTCTTGTAAATACACCTTATTTTCCTTCAGTGCTCAGAATTTTAATGAGAAGCAAGAACTGAAAGACATGGAGGTTTATACATACACAAATCTTTGAAAGTGGCAGAACAATCTAAGAAGGCTAATAAGGATACCCACATGATCCTGAGATTGATCAAAACAAGTACCACAGCAAAGAAATTATGCTAAATCTTTTAATAAAAGCACTGGTTAGGTTTCAGCTGTAGGACCATTTCGGGGCCCCACATGTTAAGCAGGATTGTAGAGGGTGCAGAAACAATTTGCTAAAATGGTACTAGTGATTAGGGATTGTATTTTATGTGGTGAATAGCGAGGACTCTTTTTAGTGCTGAGGAGGTTATAGGGAGGGAAGTGTTCAAAATCATAAAAGGTTTCATGAGTAAAGAAACAGCGTCCACACAGGAGAGTCAGTAACCAAAGTTAAAATAATACTTTAAAATAATTGACAACAGAACTAGGCAGCTGATGAGCAGAGTTTTTTTTTAATGTAATGAGTTATGTTGTTCTGGAATGCTCTGCTTGAAAAGGTTGGTGGAAACAGATTGAACAGTAACTTCCAAATGGGAATTGAACAGAAACTTGAAGTGAAGATAAGCTACAACGTAATGGGCCCTAACCAGGGCAGCACAGTGGCTCAGTGGTTAGCACCGCTGCCTCACAGCACCAGGGACTCGGGTTCGATTCCACCCTCTGGTCACTGTCTGTGTGGGGTTTGCACATTCTCCCAGTGTCTGCGTGGGTTTCCTCCGGGTGCTCTGGTTTCCTCCCACAGTCCAAAGATGTGCAAGTTAGGTGGTTTGGCCGTGCTAAAATGCCCCTAGTGTTCAGGGATCTGCAGGTTGGGTGGATTAGCCATGGGAAAAGCAGGGTGCCAGGGTATGGGTGTAGGTCTGGATAAGATGCTCTTCGGAGGGGCAGTGTGAACTTGATGGGCTGAATCGCCTGCTTCCACACGGTAGGGATTTTAGGATTCTAACTGGACAGCAACTTCAAAACAGCCTTCCACTGGTCTGTGACTTCACACTAAATCATCATGCACAAGGTGCTGAAACCTGTACCTTGGCCACACCACAGTGCTGCAAGTTTGTGAATACTTTGAATCCAGCTCACACTGTCTCTTTGTACTCAATGGCTCACTTTGTGCAAAGCTAAAGCAGACTAAACCACCTGCCTATTTAATGAGACAAGTTACCGAAATACTGACCACGCACCCAAGTCAGTTCAGTCACTGCCCCATACTATCATCACCACCTGCAAGTTCCCCTCCAAGCTACACACCACCCTGACTTGAAAATCTAGAGTCCCACCCTAACAGCATTGTTCATGTGCTTATATAAGGACGGTTCAAGAAGTCTGCTCACCACCACCTTCAAGGGCAGTAAAAGCCTGAGACGCCACCAGCTCACAAAAGAAAGCCACTAAGCACGGGTCCTCATTTCTCCTCGCCCCTGACTCCTCTGGGATTTGATTCCAAAAGGCACCAGACAGCTGCCCGTCAGTACCTCGCCCAATGATCGCTCAGATTGTTCAACTCTGTGGGGAAACAGTTTTGAGCATTCTGCTGCCTTTCCCTGAACAATTTACAGATACTTGTCACTTACTTTGGCTTTGTGGTTCAACTTCACATGGAATGGTGCACTAAGCATGAGGGGGAGGTGGAAAGAGATCAACACCCACTTGCTGATATCACTTTGTCCGCAGCAGGGGAGAAATGTTTTTAAAATGTAAACCTCCCTTGTAGACAAAAATGGACCCTTCACTTTCTCTAAGCTCAAAATGTACTACCACTTCTTTCATCATCTCAGCTGCAAGTATGAGACACAACAACTTCGTTTACAAAAATCAAACTGTTCTTCCCCCACTGTGGATTGAGCAGTATTAAACCATGCTAGTTTTCTATTCTTCCCAACAGGGGAAGAAATCTAACGACTCAAACTTTGCATTTTTAAATTAACCTGATGTTTAAAAAGTGATAAAGCAGCACAGTCTTGACTTAATATTGTTCCTGTACTGTGTACCTACTGCACAGGATTTTCTCCTCTGGCATGGCTCTTACAGATAAATTTCAAAAAATATAATTACTGAATTTACAGGTTGGCAAATTACCTTGTAGAACTTGGCTCAGGAGATTTTGACCCATCTGCTGGATATTGGTGAATGATTCCATGATGATGCCTCAGCGTTCTCACAGCAACATTCCTTCCTCAACCAACATGAGCAAGATTAGCTGGAGATTCATCTCGCTTCCACCGGTGATGTGTTGTGCTGAGTTGCTCGACTACAGCAATGGCACACTGGATAGAGGATGCTACTCCCAATTGCTTTCTTTGCATATTCATTCACAGGATGCAGACAGACAGACATCGCTGGCTAGACCCACATTTACCGTCCATCCCAAAATACCCCTTGTGAAGGTAGTGGTGAACCTCCTTGAACCGCTGCAGTCCACATGGTGTAGGTACCCGCACAGTAGTTTTGAGGAGGGAGTTCAAGGATTTGGACTCATGCAATTACTGATGATTTTGGAAGTAATTATTCAGAGTTAAATAGTGGGAGAACTTCCCCTTAATTCTTTCTTTAAAACAGCGGTCACGCAATCGGCTTTGTCCCAACTGAGTGAGCAAGATGGATTTAGTTTCACTTCTCATCTGAGTGATGCTACACCTTGTCCTGGGAGTGCTGTCCACTGTGTCTTGGTAGGTAAGCATTAAGCATATTTCAATATCTGGACTCTGGGTATTGTGACATACATGCCATATTTATATCTTAAAGCTACTATACAACTTGAATTAGTTGCTATTTAACAAACAAATCACAAGGTGCTTCACTGGGACAGGATTAGACAAAAATTGAGACTGAACCAAAGGAGAAGTACATTTTGAACAGGTGACCAAAAGCTTGGTCAAAGTTGTAAATTTTAAAGATAAAGTCCTAAAGAAGAAAGGATTAGGAAGGGATTCCAGATCTTAAGGCACAGACTAAGGCAGAGTTCCAAACTAAACTTAAAGTGAATAACAAACATTTTGAAAGACTATGATTGCAAGGATTTTGAAGCTTGAAGTAATTTCTTTCAGTGTCCCAGTTCAATGAGCATCATACCTGTTGCTCCTTTTTTTTTGGTGTGCAGCTCCTGTCAACTGGGGGGTGAAGTCAATCTTTCAGACTGCACATGGCTAACAGCCCCTACTGCTAAAAAGTGTTTAAAATGATGAAATCAGAAAAGGGATTCTGGTACCTTTGTCTCGGGGCCTATTGCTGAGACAGAAAACAGAAATGGTAGTTTCTCTTCCTTCAATAACAAATGTCAGGTGAACTTTCTCAAACCGGTGTCAGAGTCATTCGAAAATGATTTATTAACAAACGTTATCCTCTACGTGATGTAGTTTCTGATGCACACAGCTATTGCTTATAGCCAGTCATATACATGACTAGCATCACCATCCCAGTGCTCACTAACTGGTAGCAGCTTGCCAAAAAACTCAGGAAAAGAAGAACGCTCTCACCAATAGCTTGGGCATTATGGATGCTAGTACTATATTTTAGCATGAATTGATGTTGCAGAGGTTACTCTGTTAATTCGTGCTTGTACAATAGAATAGCAATTTATTGTCACGTGCATTTTTACAAAAAAAAAAGTGAAAAGCTTCATAAGTTGCCATACTACAGTGCATAAGTTAATAACAGAAATCATAAACAAGAAGAAAAGTAAAGTTCGTCACAGTTCAGTTTAATGACTTCTGAGTTTGGGGTACACTGGAAAACCAGGCCAAAAATGCCACACAGGTCTGGGCTGAGACCACCTCACCATGCCAAGGTTTCCGCACCGAGACAGGATCTCCACGCTGGGCCGTTGGAAGACCCGGAAGCCAACTCCGAAGCAAGATGAGACACCTGCACTGGGACTAGACAATGACGCCGGGCTGCAGGAATACCTGGAAGCTGCCGAAGAAGACCTCCTTGACAGGACAAGACCTCCATGCCAGTATAAGAATGATACTCCAGTCCGAGACTACCAGTCCTGGACAACACCGCCACATCGGGAGGCCGCCCGCCAGGCAGGCATCAGGCCTATACTGGTATTCCGGGCCGTTGGAACCCACCCCCTTGTTGGGCCAGGAAAAGACGCCTTCTGCTGAAGTCATTAAAAGAAGATAAGGTACCAGAATAAATGGAAACATTAAAAAAACCATAGAAAAAAAAAGCAAAGTGAACGGAATAGACAAGCTCTGGTTGCTTGGCCTGACAAGCCTGCACATTGTGCTGCTACTCTGCCGCCACTTTGAAAACGTTTATACTGACAGTCCCATGTTCCTTTCCAACAATCCATGAGGAAAGAAGGTAGTACAGGGACACTGTCACTGGATCAATAACCCAGAGGTTCAGATTATTACTCTGGGATGACAAGTTCTAATCCCATAACAGCGTCGTGTGGAATTTGAATTTCACTGAATAAGTCTAGAAGATAAAAAGTTAGTTGCAGTAACAGTGACCATGAAACTATTCCCAATTGTTATAAAAACCTACCTGGTTCACGAGTATGAAATACACTATCTGTACCCTGTCTGACCTTCATACAACGCCAGACCCGCAGCAATGAGACTGACTTTTAACTGTCCTCTGAAATAACCAAACAAACCTCTCAGTTTCAAGGATAAAGGGATGGGGAACGAATGCTGACCTTGTCGGTTACACCCAAATTTCATGGAAGAACAAAAAAAAATTTCTGTTCACCTTATCCCGCCAGCTCTTCACCTCTCTCCAACCTCCATGCTTTACTCTACCCCTCACCCCTGTCTCAATCTCACGCCCTTTCTCCCCTTCTCCATGCCCTGCTTGTGTATAATGACTAACTTGTGTTTATCAGTAGCATCACAACTGATTTACAGCCTCACTCACAGGAATATGCAGGCACACATACATGCATGAAGGCACATTTGCCAACAGGTATGCAAACACATTGACTTAACTCCCTTTCACACAGCCACATTTTGTTTGATTCATCATCTCAAATAGGCTTAATATAGATTCAAGTATTCTTGACTGTGGTCATATCACTAAGTAATATAATACAACACTGTACTAACCTGTGGAGTCACAACCTATCTGTGCACTCGTACCGTTGGTGTCTGACAATCCTCAGTTACTGTGATCAGTTGCAGGGCTTGCTGAAGGTTTGAAGGTGCCAGCTGTTTTAGGAATTGCTCTTCTGTGCTGTGGCATTGAGTCAAAGAGTTCTTCTGAACAGGAGGATGCTGGAGATGTGCCATGGCTTCTTGCTGCGCCTCTGACTGGTTACAGACCAAGCCATCAACTGTCCCAGACTCTAGCTGCTGCAGAGCACCGAATTGCTGGTGCCGCTTCCTCTGCTGGTCTTGCTGAATTTGGCACTGAACAGTCTGGTATAAAAGATCCAACAATATTCTTTACAGGAGTGAAAACATGGAGCTTTGCTAATACCATGCTGCCATCCAAACACTGAAATACATGCACCACCACTATCAAATTCAGTAATGCGAGAATGACGTGTGTTAAGTATGGCTTGGGAGGAACAGGTGACTTTAGATTTATGGTTCCCACCGAGGGCTTTCCTTATCTCATTTATAGGTCTGATGCAGATTCACTGACAGAGATGGATTGCTTGGATTAGTCAATGACTCCATGATACTGGGGAAACAGTAGCATAGTGTTATGTCACTGGACTAGTAATCTAGAGGTCCAGGCTAACTATCAATTGTAGTAAAACCTCATTTGGTTCACTAATGCCCTTTTGGGGAAGGGTATCAGTATCAGTCTGGCTTGTGTGTGATTCCAGATCCACAGCGATGTGTTTGACTCTAACTGCCCTCTGAAATGGCTGAGCCGCTCAGTTAAGGGTCAATTAGGGACAGGCAACAAATGCTGGCCTTGCAAGTGACACCCTCCGCAAGGAAGATGTACCTTGGTCTTTTATCACTTAGCAATTCTGGTGTTTCTATTTTAATAATTTAGCGTTTCAAGGAAGAGCAGACAAATTCTAGAATACCCACCCCTTCCCATCGCCCAAGTGACCTGGCCAACATTTGTCCCTCAACTGATAAAAATAAAAACAGATTATCTGTTAATAATGTAACAACAAGTAATATGACATTATCACATCACTGAGACAGTTTGCAGTATACAAATTCATGTTTCCCACATCATAGGATGTCTCCAGCCAAAGAGGTGCTTTAGAAATTTAAGTCTTTCTATGAAATTCTCCACTATAAGTGGCTGGGCCATTTCTCTGCCTTTTATCACCAATAATATATTTTTTTCAGATTCCAAGTGTTGGATATCTGATTATATGGAAGTCTTCTGACCTACCACAGGATTCTGACTGTAAAATTGTCAATATACAACATACTTCCAAACAGACAGGTATAAGGTGACTAGCTGGTGTGAATGAACTATTGCTTCATCAGTTGCTAAGCAGTGCCTCCAGATCACGTTGGTGAATGTCAGCTCCAAAACGGCCAGTGTACTAAAGAGCCAAAATCTCAACTTACTCAGGAGAAGATTTCTCCTGGTACCGATCATGATAAGCTTCCCAACACAACATCCAGATCCAACAGGGGACCATAACCAGGCAAAATTTTATACAAATCCTAATGTGGGGAGACATTTGAATAAAATATCAAATACTCAGTCAAAGATATTAAGGCTTTAAGCCGTATCTTAAAGGTGGAGAAGCATACTTCTAGGAGAGAATTCTAGCACTTGGAGGCTAGGCAGTTGAATGACTACCTTTTGGGGAGTGAAGGGAGAGGGGTACGGATAAGAGGCAGAAATTGGAGGAGCGCAGAGTTCTCAGAGGGCTGTAAAAATATTAAAAACTAAATTAGAAAAGAAAAATCAGTGAATTCTCAATACTGATGGACTTTTCTAGTAGCCCTCTGAGTTTGTGTGGGTAATAGTTGTAAAAGATCAAGTCTTCAGCTGTATGTTCGAAATCAGTTTAGCTTTTTAACTTGTAGTGTATAAAAAAAGGCAATCATTACAGCAAACCTTGTTTTAACCAGCACCTTATGAATCAGCACTCTCAATAAACCAGTAAAAATTATATACCCAAATTACCGGATGTTTACTGCATTATTGCGATCTCCGCGATGTCCAAGTAGTCAGTTGAAGGTGCAAGTGACAAGGTTCTCTGCCAGTAAGATTTTTTTTTAAAAAGGCAAAGTTGCATTATTTTTCAAGTGATTATGCTGTAATCAAGTATTACAGTGATATGTATGCTCCCTACATTGTGTTTCTATTACTGAGTGTGTGTTTTTACATTGATTATGTGGACCTCTTGATTGTCTGCCATATTTGATCAACTGCATACTCCTGGTCCCATGCGTGCCGGTTAATAAAAAGTTCGCTGTATTTTTGAATTACATGACCAATTTTTGTAAGCTTTACAAAGAACCAACTTCTGTGATCAGTTTTTGGAGCCATATAGTCCCTCTTTCTTTATGAACATACAAAATACAGCATGCTACTTTCAGTTAATTCACTACCTTATCTTAACACACATTGTCTGTATGCACTGATTCTGTGCCTGAGGTGTACGTAAACTAATGAGAACTCTATCTGATACCACTGTCCCAATTAAGCTATTTTGGACAATGACCCCAGGCATGATTCAGTAACATAAGACACTACACATCCTCTTATCTCAAACAAAAGCAAGAAAATATCATAAGGTGCCCCATTATCCCACAATACTTAAGAAATAGCAGAAAGAGCTATAGTGAGAGGGGACTATCCTACACAAAACTAATATCTTAAGGCACAATGGAAGTGATATTGTAGGTAACCATTACTCTTAAGAAACCAATCAGAAATTGATCTCTCTCTCACTCACACACACACACACATACACACACACCCCTAACCTCAGTGGCTTCAGGGACAATACTGATTGTGCACATTAACTCTTTCCACACCACAGTCCATTAACACCAGTTGCCAAAGCATATGCCAAAGTCAAAACAAAAAATAGACTACACTCCAGTCGGGGGGAGAGAGAGAGAGAGAGAAAGAAACAGGGCAGACAAAAATAAAAGGCCATGTGCCATCTTACACAGTAAGCCAGGAAAGTTGCTGCCTAACTTAAGTTCCTTATTAAATTACAGTTACTTAATAAACTTTCCCCAAGCAAAATCACTATATTGTCTTCTACCTCTTGAATGATTAAAGTCTCAAAAGACCAATTACTAGATGCACGTACAGACTCTCAAAACTTGAGTTTAAAAATTGTCTAAAACATTCAAAGTTTGGATACAAGCTGAGGTTCGGATCCATTCATGGTTATGGATGGAAGTAGAACACTGGAGGTGAACTGTACGTTAGCAGTTTAATCCAAACTAGATCTTTTTGCTGGTGATAAGTGGCCAAAGGTCTAACATTGTATGGGAGATCTTAACACATTTAAAATGAATGGAACTATTAAGATGGTGGATGAACACATTACAGATGTGGCCACTGACTAGATTCTAGGCCCTGGAGACACTGAAATTCAACCCTCGAAACTCGATAAAAATTACCAGCAATCCCTGGCTGACAGCACTGGTGCTTTGAAAGGCTGCCCATCGTAAAAAGTAATACATGAACTTAAGTCCTTTTTTATATAAATGCCAAGACTTAATTGAAGCTGTATTGCTGAGTACCACAGCATTTATTTGTTTCCCCATTGAAGCACACTAAGGAGCCTACAATACTTAAAACAGTTCACTTATTGTGTAAAATACCTGGGCTTAACATCTAGGTCAACAGTTCAAAAATGAAAGCTTCTACAAGTAAATAATGAATGCAAACACTACAGCAAGGAATGATCACGTCTGGGAATAAGGAAACATGCCAAATTTATGATGTGAAGTACAGTAAGGACAGTGTCAATGCAGATACCAGACAGGAGACATAAGCTATTCACACAGCTCCTGGAGGCATCAGAGCCTCTCAGTGAACCAACAACAGGTTCTCTACACAGCAACAGATGGTACCTGTCATCTGCTACCTGTGTAGACGGGCTGGGGGTTGGACTTCGACTTCTGTCTTGCTGCCGTAATCCTAAAACAAAATCCCCGTGAGAAGTCAAGGTGTCAAATGGCACATCTGTTCATTGCCAAGATTATTGAAGGACCCACGACAGAAAGAAAGGAAGGAGCATTTATATACAAACTTTCACATCTTCAGAACATTGCAAAGCACTTAACAGTACATAACAGCATAAGACATAGGAGCAGACTCAGGCCATTTGGCCTACAGGATCTGCTCTGCCATTCTATCATGGCTGATATGGTTCTCAAACCCATTCTCCTGCCTTCTCTCCATAACCCTTGATCCCCTTAGCAATCAAGAACCTATCTACCTGTGTCTTAAAGACACTCAATGACTTTGCCTCCACAGCCCTCTGCAGCAATGAGCTCCATGGATTCCCTGCATCCTATCTCACTGCGTATTAGTGATAAGCAGGTGGTGCTTGCAGGTGATACGCTGCCTGCATCATATGAACCCGTTTGTACTGTCCATTCCCATTGTAACGGGCTACATTCAGGAACCTCAATGACACACATCATATGGAAGGAGCATCAAATATTTGCAAAAACATGATAAGTGTAAACAGACACAGCATTCGCAAAGTTATTTTTCACAAGCTTCTGGATAACTTTAATTAAAAGTCATAACGACAGCTTGGCAGACTGTTATATCAGTGCATCTGGCCGCAAAGTGAATCACAGAATCTTACAGTTCTGGAAGCACTTCTGCCAATCGTGATTGTGCCAGATTTTTGAAAATACCATCCAATTAGTAGTACTTACTTACACTTTCCTCAAAGCACTTTCCCTTACAAATATTTATCCAACTCCCTTTTGAAAGTTACCAGTGAATTGCTTCCATCACCCTTTCAGGCAGTGCATTCCAGTGATAGTAAAAAGGTCTATGTTTACAATGCCCTATTTGACAAGTTCCAAACCATGGCCTGGTCAGGAGGAAGATGCCAAGTGAAAATGAAAGTACAGAAATCAGAAGCAAGCCCTCACATATCTCTATCATTCAAGAGCTGAAGGAAGATTTCTACAGCATTTTTGTGTTGTAGAACAAATACAGGGTACCTCTATATTCCCAATCAATGAGTCAAAGGGCAGTCACAGAGCAAGGTTCAGCGCACAACAACACATGCATATTGAATAATTTAGGAATAAATATTTACCAGGACACTGGGGAAAATTCTCCTGTTCTTTCTCAAACAGTGCCACACAGTGCTTCAGTTTAACAACTCATCTGAAAGACGGCACTTCTGACAGTGAAGCATTCTATTAGCACGGCATTAAATTCCATAGACCTCGTCAAATGAGACTTGAATCCACAACATTCTGCCTCAGAGACGAGCACTCTCTCTACTCAGCTACAGCTGGCAATGCTAGATTACAGAATATGAAAGACAGAGACCGACAATCATATCTCTATCAACTCACATCAATGAGGAGCAACAAACGAGAGTGAGGTAGGAGTGAACATTCATATAAGCTACCTTAATAAAAGCTAGAGTTTACCTGAACATCATTCTTTTGAAGTCCATCCTGCAGGATACCTATGGATTGCACGGCTGACACCATCTGGGGGTGGCCAGGTTTCAGTGGTATCTGTGCAATAGCCAGTCCTTTTTTCGATACATGGCCCTGCTGCTGCATTGCTTTGGCCTGCAGTCCAACTGGTTGCCGATGGGTTATCACACTGCTTGGCTGATGTACAGAGAGTGGCTGAGGGATGAGGGTGTCAGGTGTTCCAAAGACCTGCAGGTGCTGAGGTTGAGCCCTTGTGACTTCCCACTGAAGAACGGTAAAGAGAGAGTGTGCATTTATATACCACCTTTCACAACCTCAGGATGACTCGCTGAAATGAAACCACTGTTGCAACACAGGAAACAGAGAAGTCAAGTTACAAATGGCAGATGCCATAAACACAAAAGTGTGCTAGTGACCACATCATCTACTACTTTATCTCAAAGACACAGAAAGGAGATATTTGCAGTGTTCTGTACCACAAAAAAAAATTCACTTTTATAATACCTAAATGAAGTAATGAAGCAAATAATTTGAGGGATTGGATGCTATTAAGGGGTATTGTGTATGCTTCATCAGGCTGGTAGCAGGACTTCAGGGTTAAATAAGAACGAGACAATTATTATTTTGAGTCTAGAGGGGTGACTGGTGATCTTTCTAAAACCTTTTTATTTGTTTGGTAAGGGTGTCAGTGCAAAGTCGAAAAAGATAAGTAATGAATGAATGGAGTATTGTAACTAGCTCAAGGGGCTGAATGGCCTCCTCTTGCTCCTAATTCCATTCCTGATGAGCTCAGCATACCTTCAGGCCCATTTCCAGAAGACGCAGTGCATAAAGGTGCACAATTCCTGTAGACATAGCCACGAAATAACTTGCCCCAGATGTGTAGCCTCTACAAGTACAGCAGCACCATGTTGTACTGCAGTCACTTCCCCACCCCCAATCTTTAGAATATTTTCCTGATCTACAGCCTTCACAGACTACTTAATCAACTCTCTGCTTTTCAGCATCCTAGATTTTAAAATCGCCTCCAGCACTGGCCTTCAGCTCCTGAGGCAATAAGTTCTGGAATTTCTTTCCTAAACCTCTTGAACACTCCATCCCTTTCTTATCCTCTGACACGCTCCTCAAAACCTACATCTTTTATCAAACTTTTGGATCACTTAGCATACAATCTCCTTACATGGCTCACTTGTTAAATCTTGTCTGAACACACCTTTTTGTGAAGCACCTTGGGTACTTTTACTATATTGTGTGGTGCTAGTTATCTGCAAGATATCGTTGCAGTGGCTAATCTCTGCCTTTTACCTCACAAGTGAGTTGTGAAAATGTGGGACCCTCCTGTGGCATGGATCAGATAGTGCAGTACATTGCTCAGTTTGGTGTTGCTATGCTACTAAACCTAGGGGTCACTGCTGTCAATATGAGCAAACACTTCCTGTGTCTGGGTCACTGGTTGAGGTGCAGCAATAGGCAACTTCAAATAAACAGGTCAATGCCAACACTAAAGGAGCCATTATTAACTGCTGTAACATAACTAAGGTCAATTCCTGGACTGTCACCCAGCTATAGGAAGGATATTATTAAGCTGGAGAGGGGTCAGAAGAGATTTACCAGGATGTCACTGGGTATGGAAGGTTTGAGTTATGAAAAAAGGCTAGACAGGCTGGGAGATTTTTCCACTGGTGCATTGGAGGTTGAAATGCAACCTTATAAAAGTTTATAAAATAATCAGGGGTATAGATAGGGTTAATGGTTGTTGCCGTTTCCCTAGGATGAGGAAATTCAAGACTAGGGGGTACTTTTTTTAAAAAAATTCATTCATGGGATGAGGGCATCACTGGCATTTGTTGTCCACCCATAATTGCCTAGAGGGCAGTTCAGAGTCAACCACATTGCTGTGGGTCTGGAGTCACATGTAGGCCAGACTAGGTAAGGATGACAGTTTCCTTCCCTTAAGAACATTAGTGAACCAGATGGGTTTTTCTGACAATCCACAATGGATTCATGATCATCATTAGACTCCAAATCCACAACTGCTTCCATCTAGAAGGACAAGGGCAGCTAATACCTGGGACCACTGCCTTGTGCAAGTTCCGCTCCAAGCCATTCACCATCCTGACTTGGAAATATATTGCCATTCCTTCACTGTTGCTGGGTCAAAATCCTGGAATTCCCTACCCAAGGGCATTGTTGGCTGTAATGGGCCAGACCAGACTCCCTCAAAATATCTTGAGAAGGTAGCCAGACCCTAACTTTTTCTTATTTTAAAGGCAAATGTAAACTGTCTGTTCCAGATTCAATGCGACTGGTCAAACTACTTGAAGTTAAGCAAAACACAATTTAACTGTAGTCAAAATACAACCAAAGAAAGAGTAATTCAGAAAATAACTCTATTGGAAACTTAACAGAATAATAGATGCAGTAACTATTACTAATTAACAGTTCCAATATAGCAACATCCCATGAGCACATCCCTTGGCATAAACAGAATATTCAGGCACAGATTCTCGCATGCATTTCTCCAATCAAGGAGATAAAAAAAAATCAAGAGAAAATTCAGAGACAGTAGCAGCCAGGAGACATTCACTGAAGCTTTCAACTCTGTTGGGATGCCAAAAGCTTCTGATGCTACTGAAAAACCAAAATCCAGAACACCTAAACTGTCAGAGCTGGCCACACCCATTCAGGCTATATTTTTATTAAAAACCCAAGGCCTTCCAAGCTGTTTACTCAAGTGATCTTAACTAGCCAGCTTGGCGCCTCTTGTTCAATCTCTTTTTTAAAAGAAACTTGGACAAAATAACCTCTTAAAGTTACAGGGTCAACTTACAACACATGGACTTCAGCGATTCAAGGCGACAGCTCACCAGCACCTTTTCAAGGGCAATTATGGATGGGCATTAAAAATGCTGGCTTGCTATCAATGTCCATGTCCCACAAGTGAATAAAAAAACATTTCTCCTGAGAGACCAAACACACTGGCATTCAGTCCACCCAGCTCACACAAGCATTTATACTGCTCAAACGTCCTCACATCTTTCTAAACTGCCCACATTCTCATTTTAAAAATCTTTCAGGGTGGCTGAAGGGAAATAATCTCTGAAACCACTCCACATATCAAACGCAGACAGACAAGAATGAAAAAGCAGAAAAAGACCAATATTTCTATCCAACAGTAAGGGACACAAATCAATCTTGGGTTTTAAACTGCCAACAGAGCAGCTGATCCTTGATATATGTGCTGCATGGAATTCAATTCCATTGACTTCATTCAACCCAAAGCGTGAATGAGAAAAGGTTTACCATGACTTTTTATTGTTTGCGCGTGGGCAGGCTTTGTCAGTATCTCTTTTAACCCACTTCTGGTTATTCTCCTCTTCCTCAACTGGCTGGGCCAGTTCAGCAGAACACTCCCAACAACCTGCCACTGTCCACTAGGTGGGGAGCATGCTGCAAACTGACTGGGCCTTTCACCACTGCAGTGCACCACAGCCCTGCATAGCAGATCCTAATCCTTTGCTTTTTACCACTGCCATCCAAGAGTGTTTTTTGGCAATACCTGCAGCTGCAGTTGCTGTTGCTGAAGGACCTGAACCTGCGTCTTCAGAGCTTCGATTTGCTGTTGCTGGATCTGCAACTGTACCTGGTTTAAAAGGAGGAATAAAGAAGGCTACATTAGGAGAGAAAACAGGATATAGGAATTTGCAGAAATGCATACAAGGCCTATAAATGGATAACCAATTTAATTGCAAATCGTAATCATAGGATGACACCGAACACTGCGCAAAAAAACCCAGCCATTTCAACCCAATCTATATTTATGCTTCAATTGAGCCACCTGCTATACTTCTCCATCCAACTCTATCAATGTCCCCTTCTATTCCTTTCTACTTAATGTATTTATTCAGCTTCCCCTTAAACTTCAGAACAACTTGAGCTGCATAAATCTTTCCTGATGTTTACAACTTGGTCAGAGCTCAACTAGCCCTCAACACAATAAAGAACAGGGCATTAATAAACACTGTGGAGCATGTCCGAGACTGGGTATTCCATGGTGAGTAACTCACCTCCTGGCTCCCTAAAGCTTCATCCGCCTGGAGAGAACAGACATGGAGAAGATGTTTCCACTCGTTGGAGAGACTAGGACCTAAGGGCACAGCCTCAGAGTAATGGGACAATCCTTTACAGCTGAGATGAGGAGGAATTTCTTCAGCCAGAGGGTTGTAAATCTGTGGAATTCACTGCCGCAAAGGGCTGAGGAGGCCAAATCATTGAATGTACTTAAGACAGTGATTCTTGATTAGGAGGAGGATCAAAGGTTACGGGGAGAAGACAGGAGAATGGGGTTGAAAAACATATTGGCCATGATTGAATGGTGGATCAGACTTAATGGGCCAAACGGCCTAACTTTGCCACTTTTTCGCATGGTCTTACAGTCAAAGTGCAAGTCAGGAGTGTGATGGAATACCCTCTACTTGTCTGAAGTTCCAACAATACTAGTAGTTTGATACACTCAGAACAAAGCAGCTGCTTGAACTTCAACATCCACTCCCTTTCCTACTGATACAGTGTCAGACCATGTACAAAAATATACAAAATATACTGCAGCAGCTCAGCAAGTCTCCAATTACAGGACTTTCCAATCCCATGATCTCCAACAACTAGCAGTGCAAGGGCAAGTGAAGTATGGGAGCACCAACACCTGCAAATTCCCATTGAAGCCACATACCATCCTGTCTTGGAGCTATATCACCTTCTTTCACTATTCTCCTGATTCAAAATCCCAGAACTCACTTTACGACAAAAGAACTTACAGTGGTTGGGAGAGAGCAGAGCTCCACTGGCAGTGAACTTTTGCTTATGGAGACCTGAATGGTTTCTGGGAAGGAAGGTTCTGAACTGACAACGGATGAAGCAGAGTTTAGGAAGTTTGCCATGTTCATACCCATGCTGTTTTGCTCTGTGCTTTTCATCCCCTGTGTCTTTGGTTTTTCCTTCAAAACAAAAAGCAGTCAAAATGATTCAAAAAAGTACTTGAGGAGGCTAACAATGCAGGGGAAAATGCAATTGGTTTGTCTGAAGCAGTTGCTACAGATGTTCTTTCAGAAGAAGGATCTCACGTACATATCAATTTGTTCCTGTCCTTAGTTAAATTGCAATATCAATCAAAAGAAGGCTTTTGCAATGTGCTCGGTGCACATTTTAATGAAGAACCATGAAGCTATTGTTCCCTGAACCAAGTGTTACAATCGAGGCTGAAAGAACCACCTTCGCTCTAAAGTCACTCCTCCACAGGCAACACCCCAAAATACATTCCCTGTAACCAAAATGACCAATTAAATACCTTATCTGTATCAGGTTTTAAAACAGCAATATCTGTCAAAGGGGTTTCTTGATAACCAACAATTCTGGGCAATTATCAAACAAAACTGGCTGTGATGTCTTGCAGATGCAGTTTGCTCAGGAAATACAATTGTCAGATGTTTCATCAATCACTCTTTCAAAAAGAAAGAACAGATTTCACCCTGAGGAAGTATATTTTCCCACCCAGAGGGTGGTGGGAATCTGGAACTCACTGCCCATAAAAAGTGATAAGGGCAGAAATTCTTATAACATTTAAGTATTTAGACATGCACTTGTTAACCCAATGCATACATGACTGTGGGCCAAGTGCTGGAAAATGGAATTAGAATAGTTAGGTACTTATTTTTGATTGGCACAGATTTGATGGGCTGAAGGACCTTTTACTGTAGACCTCTATGATGTTATTCCAGAGGAGATTAACTGAAATGTAATAAACATGTTTAACTTAATTTGACACAGTTGGGTGTGAAATACCAATCTTCACATTTGTATGATCTAGCCATGTGAATCTTTAAGCTATATTTGCTCGTTTTAAAATGTTTTTAAATTATGAGCATTTTACTTCTTTAGTTACTGAATGATGGATGAAGTACATTTACTTACATCGTGTGCATGAATTAAGAAAGGTATTTTCCATCAAATATTAGACCCTGTGGATATTTGAGCCTAATCTGTAATTTTCACTGGATAGCATGCGGTTAGGACACTGTCCTATCAACTGTGACAGTAGCGGTTGAAGATATTTTCCATCAACCTGTTCAGAGCTATTATGACACCTCTGGAGCAGGTGGGGCTTGAACCCAAGTCTCCTGGCTTAGAGGTAGGGACAGTACTGCTGCACCACTAGAAAACTCCAGTAGAGCTTGAATCCAACTCAGTCCAATGAAAACCTGCCACTGATAGTCACCAAGAGAAAACATCCCTGAAAGTGAAGTTTGCTTTGACAGGGGAAAGGTAGATCTTCCACAGGATTTCAAAAAAAAAGTATTCAAGTCATGTGGGATTTGGGCAGAGTACAGGGAGAAACAGTTCCTATTGCGTTTGAGAATCAGAGGGCACTAATTTAAAGCGATTGGCAAGACAGCCAAAGGTGCCATGAAGGAGAATCTGAATTTGTTACCTGGGAGTGATAGTGGAGGCAGGTTGTGATGTTCAGAAGAGAACTGGGTAATTATCTGAAGAGAAAAGAACACTTCAGGGCCACAAGGCAAAGGAAGGAGACTGGGACTAGCTGAAACCTTCTTACAGACAGCTGATATGGACACAATAGGCCAAATGACCGCCTTCTGTGCTGTAATCATTTTACTGAATCTAGCATACACTATATTGAGCTGATTAACAGAAAACTAGCACAGGACGCACATCATCTCTCCTGGACTTTTCTCAATTACCTGTGCAAGGATCAGAGAGGAACTTTCCAGTTCTTTCTCTGTGGTTATCAGTCCTGGGCTATTCTACCAGTTTTGACTCTCCCAGGACGTAACATGGCTGAGAAGACAGTAGATGGAGGGACTGGGGTTGGAAGAAGTACCTGATCATGATGCACCAATGTAGGGTAGGCTTTGTGGAACCGGCTGATTTTAATTCATACCTGTCATGATCTAGAAGTGGAATCCCTACAATGTGGAAACAGGCTATTTGACCCATCGAGTCCACACCAAACCTCCAAACAGCATCCCACCCAGATCCATTCTCCTAGTTTATAACCCCTACCACGGCTGACCCACACATCCCTGGACACTAGGAGGCAATTTAGCATGGCCAATCCACCTAACCTGCACATCTTTGGACTGTGGGAAGAAAGTGGAGCACCGGGAGGAAACCGGAGCACCCGGAGGAAACCCATGCAGATATGGAGAGAATGTCACCCGAGGATGGAACCAAACCCAGGGCTGTGAGGGAGCAGTGCTAGCCAATCAGCCACTGTGCCATCCTTGGTTCCTGCTCGTCAGGCTGACACCAACAGTTGTGAAATGGATTAGTCTTGCGATCGCTATCCCTTGCCTTGCTGTAAATGTCAGCAATGAAACTTCACCTGCCTTCCAACACTTCTTCAGTCCATGGGGAGTTGGCTCCCGTTCACCTCCTGTCCTCCTCATCTGCTCATTGACTCGGCTAATGGTGCTGTGACTGCAGCCCGTCACCCAGCTGATGAACTTGTAGCAATTGGAATGTGAGCCACCTGGGTCAAGGGAAAAAAAAAACACTTCAGAAATCTCCAGGGACGGGATAATGTGAGAGCACTACGGCTGTTTCAACCCGTAGGTCAGCACGACCAAGTCAGCAGAACACAGGACATAGCTTGTGCTTGTGGATTATTAGGGTCACAATAATGCTGCAGAAACAATACCTCAGCAAACTAATATTTTCTCTGTAATAAACATAGAAAATGCAGGCAACGAAACTGCATCCTGAAGTTTTAAAGCAGCATTTCTCTGATGGATATCTGACAGCTTCTGCAAGCAGGGCCCTCACAATATAACGGCACAAGAGTTTCTGTTGTGTACAGTGGGCTTGATGAATTGGCAGGATACAGACAGTATACCAGTTCTGAAGAAATGGAATTAGTTGAAAGAGCAAAATTCTGTGAAAAAACACTTGAAAGGTTTAATATTAAACAACTTACATTTTTATATTGCTTTTAACATTATAAAACATTCCAAGACACTTCACAACAGCATAGTAAAAAAAAGTGTAGGATTTGGAGCCACATAAGATGTTGGCTCAGCCAGTTTGATTGGAGTTAGTTTTTTTTGAGGAAAAACAGAAATTGCTGGAGGAACCCAGCAGGTTTGACTGCATCTGTGGGCAGAAAGCAAAGTTAACATTTCAAGTCAAGAAGGGTCACTGGACTTGAAATGTTAACTCTGCTTTCTGCCCACAGGGACTGCCAGACCTGCTGAGTTTTTCCAGCATATCTTCAGCAACCACTTTGTTTTATTTTAGTTTTTAAATTAATGTGTTAAAAGAGGAAAGTGAGGCAAGGAGTTGTGGGAGGGAATTGCGAAGATTGGGCCCCAAGCAACTGAAACTGGAGTTACTTAAATTAAGGATGCACACAAGAAGCCCAAATGAGACGGGTGCGTATATCCCAGAGGGTTGTAGTGCTGGAAAGAGGAGTTTCTGGAAATAGAGAGGGCCAAGATCATGAAAGGATTTGGTAAAAAGAAAAACAAGAGATCACAACAAGAAAAATCCCTCTCTGGTTCTTTGCAGGGACTATCTTAAATCAGTGTTCTCTGTTCATCAACTCTCCAGTCAGCAGAAATATTTTAAAATCTGAAAGAACCGCAGATGCTGGAAATCAAATAAAATAAAATTGCTGGAAAAGCTTAGCATGTCTGGCAACATCTGGGGAGAGAAATCAGAGTTAACTTTTCGGGTCCAGTGACCCTTCCTCAGAATACAGCAGAAATAATTTCATCTTTTGCACTCCACCAAACTTCTTCATTAACCTCTAGTAAATCTCTGAGGAACCTTCTAAAGAGAACAATCACAGTTGTATAAATGCACGCCTTAATGCGCTTTGGGGAAGGAAACCTGGTTTCTGGTATCCATACCTGGTCTGTCCTGCAAGTGATTCCAGACTTACAGCACCAGGGTTAACTTAATTGCCCTCAGTTGATAGGCAAACGGGGGATGGGGAACAAATTCCATCATCCCACGAAATAATAAAGAATTACGGGTGAAAAAAAAAAGAATAAGTTCTTCTGATACTTTTCCAGTAAATGTCCTCTGCAGCTTATCCAAGACCTTGAGATCCTCCCTAAACTGTGATGATTATGAACATTCCAACTGAGGCCTCACCACTGATTTATAAAATTTAGCACAACTTCCTTTTCTTTGGTACTTAATGCCTCTATTTATAACACCATTGATCCCATATGATCTTACAATGGTATAAATCAATCTGCCCTACCTCCTTTGAGTAGGTTAGTCCCAGGTCTTTCCCTTCCTGCAGCCCAATTAAAACTGTATCATTTAGTTTATATTGGCTTTACCCATTATTCTTTCCCAAATGCTTCATTTCATTCTTCTTGGAAAAGACTGAGAGGTGACCTGGTAGAGGTATTTAAAATTACAAAAGGGTTCAACAGGGCTAGATAAAGAGATCATATTTCCACTTGACAGGGGATTTCAGAACTATAGGTTGCACACAAGAGCCAGTCACTAATTAATCCAATTAAGAGTTTCAAGAGAAACCTCTGCACTTGGGAGCAGTGAGAATGTAGAAGTTATTACAACAAGGACTGACTGAGATGAATAGCATACAATGTTTTCAAGGAGAAACCAGATGAACACATGGAGGAAGGAAAATGGAAGGAAGGACATACCGAGATAAAGTCATAGAGATGTACAATGCAGAAACAGACCCTTCAGCCCAACTTGTCCATGCTGGCCAGATATCCTAAATAAATCCAGTTGCATTTGCCAGCATTTGGCCCAGATCCCTCTAAACCCTTCCTATTCACACACCCATCCAGATGCCTTTTAAATGTTGTAATTGTACCAACCTCCACCACTTCCTCTGGCAGCTCATTCCATACAGGCATCACCCTCTGCGTGAAAAAGTTGCCCCTTGGGTCCCTTTTAAATCTTTCCTCTCTCACCCTAACCCTATACCCTGTAGTTTTGGACTCCCCCACCACAGGGAAAATACCTTGTCTAATTACGCTACCCATGCCCCTCATGATTTTATAAACCTCTATAAGGTCACCCCCTCAGCCTCCGACACTCCAGGAAAAGTAACCCCAGTCTATTCAACGTCTCTCTATAGCTCAAACTCTCCAATCCTGGCAACATCTTTGTAAATCTTTTCTGAACCTTTCAAGTTTCACAACATCCTTCCTATATCAAGGAGACCAGAACTGCATGCAGCATTCCAAAAGTGGCCTAACCAATGTCCTGTACAGCCACAACACAACCTCCCAACTCCTACACTCAATGCATTGACCAATAAAGGCAAGCATTCCAAACGCCTTCTTCACTATCCTATTCACCTCTGCCTCCACTTTCAAGGAACTATGAACCTGCACTCCAAGGTCTCTTTCTTCAGCAACACTCCTCAGGACCTTACCATTAAGTGTATAAGTATCGCCCAGTTTTGCCTTTCTAAAATGCAGCACCTCACATTTATCTAAATTAAACTCCATGTGCCATTCCTTGGCCATTGGCTCATCTGATCAAGATAACGTCAGAGAGTGAAAGGGTGCTCCAGTGAAACATAACCACTACCACAGGCAGGATTGATCTGTTTCTGTGCTGCATATTCCATACAATGTATGGAGAAAGCATTCTTACCAAAACAGTCCAGCACATGTGTTAGTTATTTGACCTAATGGAATAGGATAAATCATAGTTTGCTTCAAATTTCACCACCCACCTGAAGGTGTCAGCATCTCTGCCAGGGCTCTACGTGCGTCAGCCTGTCCTTTCGAGGCACGCTCCCTCCAGAAGTGAAGCAAACGCCCATGAGTGCGTGCCATCTGAAAGACAACCAAGGATCCTTTCAACAAATGGTGGCTCAATCAACAAATCCACTCTGGGCAAAATTAGTCTCCAAAAGGAAGACCCAGTTACCAAGACACAGTTATCCATGCAACATCTCTCCTTCACAAGTTCGGCAATTGGTTTCAGAAGTCCCAGGGCTCCCTTCCCTTTAGTCCTTTTAATTCGTTTTCCTTTCTGTGGAATTTTGAACAAATAGTACATTAGGTAAAGAAAGACACAGTCTTGCATTTATTTTGAACTTTTTAATCACCTGAAGACCCAAAGGCATTTAGAATCAATCAAGTACATTTAAAGTGTAATCACTAATGTAAAATAGAAAACATGATGAACAATTTGTGCACAGCAACCTCTCCAGAAAATCATAAAAGACCTGAAGTAAGGCAATGGTCCATCTGGTCTGCTCCTACATTCAATGAGATAATGGCTGATCTGATAACATCAAATCCATTTTCTTTCCTTTGAAATAATCATCGATTCCCAGTCTGATTAAAAATCAATCTCAATCTTGAATATACTTCAAGACCCAGCCTCAACAGAACTCTGCAGTTAAGAATTCCACAGATTCACTATGGTCCGATAAAATAAAGAACTGCGGATTGCTGGAGAAACTGAACAGGTTTGACAGTATCTGTGGACAAAAAGCTGAGTAAATGTTTCAAGTCCAGTTACCCTTCTTCAGAAGGATCTTTAATTCAGGACTGAAGAAGGGTAATTTGATTTGAAATGTTAACTCTGCTTTCTCTCCACACATTGTGCCAGACCTGCAGAGTTTTTCCAGCAATTTCTGCTTTTCCATAGAATCCATAAAATCCCTGCAGTGTGGTAACAGGCCCTTCGGCCCAACAAGTCCACACCGACCATCAGAGCATCCCACCCAGACCCATCCCCCACCTAATCTATACATCCCTCAACACTATGGGCAATTTAGCGTGGCCAATCCACCTAAGCTGCACATTTTTGGACTGTGGGAGGAAACCGGAGCACCCGGAGGAAATCCATGCAGACACCAGGAGAATAAACAAACTCCACACAGACAGTCACCAGAGGGTGGAATCAAACACAGGTCCCTGGCGCTAACCACTGAGCCACCGTTTTGTTCTTCCTTTTCATCTCTCTCTTAAATGGGTGACCCCTTACTCTGAGAATACGCTCTCTGGTCCTAGACTGTCTCACAACGGAAAAAATAAATTTCACAAAAAGTAATATGATAATAACCAAATCATCTTGAACAAGGGACAATTAAGGTCACCAGGGAGCACTTCACTTCTCCCTGCAGTACAGTGTAACGTAACCTTTTATATTCATCTGAGAGGTTACAGGGATCTATGATTTGATGTCTCATCCAGAGGATTGCACATTCCAACAGTGCAACATCCAATACTGCAGTCGAATGTCAGAAGTCTCTGGCCAACAATCTGAATCAATAACATTCTGACTCAAGTGTTACCCACTGAGCCACAATTCGAACAAATACTGGTAGCTTGGAAGAACACATTTTATTTTACCTGAGGATCAGTTTTCAACTTTTTGTGTAGAAAGTTATTGGAGTAGCCCAGGATACGTTGAGTAGCTCGTTCACACAACTTCAACTCATTTTTCAACACCATGCGATGCTTCAGTACAAACTCCTCAAACGCTTTTGACTTCCGCTGACCATTGCCTAGTCCTATGCACCTTCTGAAAGGAACACAGCTTAATTCAAACATCGTAACTGGACTGGGCATGTTTGGAAGCCTACCACAGTGCATGGGCTGGCCCACGATGGTTGACAAATCAATGTGACCTGTTCGACATTGCCTAGTCATAATTTTCTGTCTGGGATAAGAAGGCGAGCCTTCGGTTTAATGGTAGTGTTCCTGCCTGGAAGCCAAAAGGAATCAAAACCCAACCCTAATAATTCTGCCAAATAACGATTGCCATTGTTACTCTAAAATCAGAGATGCTTGTGGTTTGGTGAATGAGTAATACAACCCTCCACCCCTGCCACAACATGGTCTGTGAGAACCTAGGATATTCTTCTGTCATTATAGGGGGATTATGTTATTAACAGGATGGGTGGACCATTCATCCACGTCAATTGACGTGAGACTTTCCACCACTTTATGTCAATCTCTCGTGGAAGAGCATTAATGTACCAGGAGATGGAAGATCTGAGAGAGAATCTAAAGAAGCTGCTCTTTAAAAAATTGCATGGGAGATAACTCTTGACACACTGAATTTAGTGGTACACAAATACAAATCAAGAAAATACTCTACAGGAAGAAAAGACACTTTAAAACATGCAATCATGTGAGAAGCCATTTAGCTGGTCAGAACATTCACTCTGGAAAAAAAGACAGGATTGCATCTCCTTTGGATTCTAATTCAAGAAACAAATCAACTTCAAGCAGTCACAATGTTACTTGCTTTCGAGGTCTTTCTAGCTGGTGTACTTGGTTTTCATCGTAGTACTTCAATAAACTGAGCCGCCTGGCTTCCTTCAGCAGCTGCAGGAGGTTCATAGCTCGATGTCGACTTTCACTCAGCTCATCCCCTGAAGTTAGGGAAGAAATGGAAATCAGGACTGAATCCACATGCTATTGTGTTTTACACTTTTAGAAACTACCCTTTACAGCGGGTTGAAGTGGGGGAGGGGTGGGGTTACCAGCAGGTAATCAATCTCACATTTCATGTAAAAGACAATGCAGTGCCCCCTCAGTACTTCACCAAGGCAGTCACTTAAGTACAAAAACAAATTTGCTGGAAAAGCTCAGCAGGTCTGGCAGCATCTGTGAAGGGAAAAAACACCTGAAGGAAAAAAAACCCTTGAAGGGTCACCGGACCCGAAACATTAACTCTGTTTTCTCCTCCACAGATGCTGGCAGACCTGCTGAGCTATTCCAGCAAATTTGTTTTTGTTCCTGATTTACAACATCCGCAGTTCTTTCAGTTTTTATTTAGTATTCAGTCATTTAAATATGTATTTAATTCACTGTGAACCAATAACTTGCTATCTCTGAGGAAAGAGTGCAGTCTCACTGACTTACAAATGACATTGATCAGATATCTGTCCTGTTGACACTCACCGTCAACACTCTTGAATGAAGAATGGTTTAGATAGAACCTTATCAAAATACAGTTACCACACGTGATGATATATCTTTTCCCCTGTGGGGCCCACTGGTCCGTAAAGGTCTGCAGACTCTGCATGCTCCCTCTCCATGGACACGTACGTGGACATAACCACAGAAGAGGAGCAGATAGTTAGGTAATACAACCCACCCTGTTCAAGGCTACTGCCTTACCAATTGATGGTCACCTTAGTCAGCCCCAGACACAGATCCACAGGATTGTTGTCTGATCTGCCTGTCTATCTTCACATGGGATGCCCATAAATTAGGAGCCTGGGGGCTGAAGTGCAGCCAAAATTGTAAAAGCAGCCCCTTTAAGACATGAAACAGGGGCTGGAAATGAAAATAATCAACATAAATGTCTAAAACAGCTTCCGCCGGGCCACAAAAACTATATGTGGTCTGGCATCCAATGCACCTCCCTAAACGTTTATTGAAAGCCAAATGTGCATCGTACTCCCATCCAATTCCTAACCAGGTCAGAGACTGCCTAGCTTCGAGGATCGAGTGCTTTCAAACTAATTTCACTGTTGGCTACAGTCATTGTCTAAACTGATATAAACAGCAGTTGAGACAGAGCAGGAATTGTACCACCAGGAGCAGATGAAAGGAAAAAAACAATTTCTTACCAATCTAGGAATACTGACAGGAGGTTCAGTCATTGCTATATTTCTGCTTCTTTATACAACACTTGCATTTATACAGCATCTTTTAATATGATAAAACACCCCACGATAAGAAATATTTATAAAACAACATGCATCATACAGATTTTTGGACAGATGGCCAAAAGTTTGGTCAATGAGATAGGCTTGAAAGGAACACAAACAAACAGAAAACACAAACAGGAGAAGCTCAGCAGGTCTGGCAACATTTGTGGAGAGAGAAATAGAGTTAACATTTCAAGTCTGGTATGACTTCTTTTGAACTGCTGTTAATGTTAACTCTCTCCCTCTCCACAGATGCTGCCAGACATGCTGAGTCCAGCATTTTCCGTGTTTCTATCAGATTTCCAGCATTCACCGTGTTTTGCCCTTATTCAAAGGTGTTAAAGGATTGTTTTGGAAGGAGAAGAGAGGGGCAGACAGGTTTCTGGAGGGATTCCTGAGCTTAGGATCTAAGAGTCTGTACTGGCCAATGGTGGACTGATTATAACCAAGGATAGAGTTAAGTTCAGCATTTATTTTTTGAGGAGGGGAAGCTGGGCGAGTTGGGGGGAAAAAAAAAGAGTTTTGCATGCATTTTCCAACCTGTCCTTTTGATGTAGTTCTGCAGACACTGACAAGGTTTCTTCACAAACAGAGGACAGCACAGCATCTTGGCATCCTGGTCTCCCAGCAGCTCCATCATAGATACAGCAAAGGCTTCAAGGGCTTCCCGATGTTTTCTGCGCTCACCAGCATCTATATCTGTGCAAGATGAGCGAAGACGGCGGGATCTGCCAAATGCCAACCCTTCAGCAAGGTGGAAGGAATTTATTATGAAGACTACATATTGTGGCATCAGTCCTGACCAGGATAGAGATAACTGGACCAATTTCACCACCAACCACCCACCTTCCTTGCATTCCCCCCCCACCCCCCACACCCCACCCCACCCCATCAACCCCTACCCCAGTCATCTTGCTCCCTCACCCGTGAGGATATAAACTTCACAATAACGATAACTGTTCATGGATTGGAAGAATCAACAAAAGATAAACAAACAAAAAGCAGCAGTAACTGGAATAAACTGTTTCTCGACATGAAAGGGATAAAGACAAGCTGGTACACAGAGAATGAAAGCAGTTAGCCATGTCTTGTTGAGATTACATAACAAAAACTGCTTTGATATCTACTTGATAAACTGGATGCTTTATGACCACAAAGGACAAGGATTGCCCTGCAGAAGAATTTAAAGAGTTAATTGCAGGAAAAACTGTGCTTTAAACAAACATCTAATCCCAAATGTAACAAGGAGCAGGGGAGCTCCTTCTGACAAGAAGGCAAGCTACAGACTTGAGGCCTTCAGAAATGCAATCAATGTTAGGAATGAAATAATCTATCGAATCATTAATAATGTCATACCACAAACGTGAAAGGGGGAAAATTGTATAAAAATCCAACACCAGAACAAGTCAGAAGCAGAACTTCGAAGAACCCTGGGCTCTTCCAGAGGCAGACACTGTCGGTGAAATCTTGGCCAGATTCCATCATTAATTGGGTAATAGCCAAGTTGGGTTGTGAGGCTCAACTTGCTTACTTGAGGGGTCTTATTTTGGTTGCTACTGCAATAAAGTTTAAATTATTGTTTCAGTACTTGATTATCTGTGAGATTTCTTAATAAAGTAGCTGAATTGAAGGTAACTTGTTGTGAGTTTACCCACAACATCCCCAAACAAATCCCTACATATAACTGGTAATGTTACAGTCCTCCACCAACAACAGTCTGCTGGAGAAACCTCCATGCTTTCCTAGAGACTGGTGAGAGGTTCTACTTTATACACTCTGATTAAACAGGCAATGTTTGCTGTCTGACTACAGAATGGATAGGTGGGATGCAGTGTGTGGAAATCAGTGGAGATTCCAGCTCATAATTGAAGCCAAGGTTCTGGTGCAAAATTGCTGTCAGAACAGGGCACGGTGTAATACACCTAGTGGTCAAATAATTGGCTACATGAACATAATAAAAGAAGAATGCTTTGATGAGATTCCCATGAAACCTTTTCTGTTAACTATATATCATACCTCAACGAATAGAGTCATTGACATTAACAACATGGAAACAAGCCCTTTGGCCCAACTTGCCCATGCCACCCAGTTTTCACAATTTAAACTAGTCCCATTTGCATGCATTTGGTCCATATCCCTCCATATCTATGCCATCCATGTACCTATCTAAATGTTTTTTAGATGACAAATCATTCGTATGTGGTATGCTGCACACAGCTATAGTCCCCATGTTACAAAAATCAGTAGTGGAAAAAGGTACCAAAACAGGTTAAGAATGATCCTAGAACTGATCGGTTATAATTCATTTGTTCAAAGTATGGCCTGGGGACTTGTCACTGGGAACCAGAGTCGCAGCAACAATGCACACCCGCCTGGAACAGCTGAAGTGTCAAACAGGGTGGAGTGACGAAGTTCATCTTAGTGCCTTCACCGCTGTCCTGAATTCCTCCTCAGTGAGTGAGTGAGCTAGTCTAAGTAGAAGAAAGACGGTGAATCTGTGGGAGTGAGTCTGAGTAAAAATAGGAGGCAGGGAGTCTGTGGTTGGTCTTTTATCATGTGGTTTTATGCCAATATCGATGAGTTCAGGTTCAAGACAAGTTGGACAAGGAGAAGTCAAGGTCAGGAACTGTCTTCAAGGTTGGGCTTGTTTACAATATTGTTTTACATATTACGATAAAACATTGCAATACATGGATTCAGAAATACACAGGCTCTGAATTTAACTGTTACTATTGAAAGACAATTCCATAATCTCCACCAACCTACTGCCAGTCGGTCTACTCCCCATACTTCTCTGCACGTTTCTAACATTCACATGGTTAGACTTCAGGCTTCTGCTTAGCTCCCCATGTTTCTCTGTTATTTTTTCTTAACTCCTCCCATACTGTGCTATTTATGCCCACCGAGGAGCAGCTCTATGATACTGTCACACATCTGATGCAGGGTCTTCAGGCCCTTATGTAGGCGTAAAGAAATGAGGGAATGAATCTGTGTAAGCAGAGAGAGGTAGAGAGCAAATGGCGCACACACACGCACACCCCTCTTCTTCCCTTCCCAAAAACCTTTCCAACAAAGCAGGCTGGAAGAATAGGGAAAGCCGAGGATTAAAAGAAATCCACTTTCAACGCAAATTTCACTTGAATCCTGGCAAGGCAAAACGTCAGAGGTGAATGCAAGGTGAGTGTTAGTTAAACCCAACATATTTGCTCATTCAGAGTCTATGGTGATTAGAACTCAGGGCTCAGTTGCCTCAAGTTGTGATTCTTAAGCAAAAAAAAAAAAAAAGCTTTTAATTGCTCAGCCTTGCTCCTTTGTGCATGCTAAGGGTCATTTTTATTAATTATTCTTTATCTTAAATTATCAATGTATTGATTTTTAAATTCACATTTGATGGTGAGCCAAGCCTCATCTGTCCAGAATTTGCTTATCAGCCCCTTCAGTGCGAAACAATTTGAAACATAGCCCCATCACAAAACAATCCGACAGCCTTGGGATATAACTGAACAGCTGACAGGTTAGAGGCTTATTTCTCTACAGAGGAGAAGGCTAAAGGCGATGTGACAGACATCCGTGCACAGATATGACAGACGGCCATTCGGAATGTGTGTGTCTGTGTGCGAGTGCTGGGGAGGAAAGTGTGTGTGAAAATAGAGGTCAGAAACACATGATGGTCACTAATAAACCCAGGAGAGAAATTCAGGTAAAAACACTCTTTATCCAAGAATGCATGAAGAATGTGAAAGTTGCTACCACAACCCGAGGCAAATAACAGAGATGCCTTTCAGGGGGAAATGGCTGAAATAAATCCAGAGGCTGGTATCCTGTCCCAAGTCACCCTTTATTTACACGTGGCGAGTCCTTGACACTGATCCAGCTCCCTCAGAACCAGCTCTCAGACTGAATAGAACCTCTGACTCTCCTGGTTATCTGTCAGCCCAGGCTCCCTGATCGGACCAGATTAACTGCCCCATTCAGGGAATTCGTATTCTAGCAGGTCCATCTGGTTGACCTAATTACAATCACTGCAGTGGCTAAGTGTTGAGAATGGAAGAAATTGAACGACACTGAGATAATGTAGAATGGGAGGAGTTTCATACGAAATATTATACATTGGCATAAATCAGTTGTGCCAAATAGCCTGCTTCTACCCTGTGCATTCTACTTCCTATAAGACTGAATCCTAAATGGAGTTGGTATGATCAGTTGAGAAGTGAGCCACGGTGTGGGAAACAGGAATTCTTCTGAAACTAAGTGTTGACATGCCTCACACTGATGAATGCATTGATCTTGCAGGCCACTTACCGCATGCATTACACAGCATCAACATTTTTCCTGTCTCAGGGTCACTCTTCCAGCGTGGTGAGGCCCTATAACCCGACTGCTTCAGCCTATTGCCCCGATAGCTGGGGTTTGTGATGGATGGAGATTTACAGATGTCACAGCAGAATTCCACTCCTGCCTTTTTCCCTGGGAAAGAAAGAACTTTCAAAGAAGATAATCAGCAAGCGTGGCCAACCACTCCAGCTTCAATCAAGAACACGAAGCACACTGCATCTCCAAGAGGCAACGCGTGAACGTTAACATGTTCAAAATCATGAAGGGTTTTGACAGAGTGGAAGGGAGGAAGTGCTTCAAGTGACAAGAGGGTCAGTAATAGAGAACACCGATATAACAATGAGCAAGAGAACCAGGGCAACATGGTGAGAAATCTTTAACAGACCACACTGTCTGAAAGGGCAGTGTAAGCAGATTGAACAGCAGCTTCCAAAGGAGAATTGGATAAATACTTGAAACGGAAACATTCTCAGGGTTTAAGGACGAGGAAGGTAGTGGGACTAATTGATTGGGTCAGTCACACAGTCAGCACAAACATGATGGGCCAAATGGCCGCTTTCTGTTCCATTTCATTCTATAGAACAGACACTTTAGGTCAGTGGGAAACTATTTCAAGTGGCAAGATACCATGTGGAATTCTTGGGAGCAATTCTGTAAAAGAGAAAATAAATCTTCTGGAAAGGAACCAACAGGGGCGGCATGGTGGCTCAGTGGTTAGCATTGCTGCCTCACAGCGCCAGGGACCTGGGTTCGATTCCACTCTCGGGTGACTGTCTGTGTGGATTTCCTCCAGGTGCTCCGGTTTCCTCCCACAGTCCAAAGTTTTGCAGGTTAGGTGGACTGCCCATGCTAAATTGCCTGTAATGTTCAGGGATGTGTAGAGTAGGTGGGTTATAGGGGGATAAGTCTGGGTGGGATGTTCTGTGGGTCGGTGTGGACTGTTGGGCCGATGGGCCTGTTTCCACACTAGGGATTCTATGATTCTAGGAAAATCAAGATAAACAAGGTCATCATAATGTGACTTTGTTCCCAGCGATACAAGGACAGTGAGGCAACACTGCCACTCAGTGGCTACAACCTTTATTACATTATACAGTATTTATTACATTTATTCGTTCACAGGATGTGGACGTCACTGACTGGGCAGAATTTAGTGCCCCCCTCCCCCCCACCCACCACCCAAATCCCTGAATGCCCAGTCGGCAGCTGAGAATCAACCACTTTGCTGTGGGTCTGGAGTCACTTGTAGATCAGACCAGGTAAGAATAGCAGATTTCCTTCCCTAAAGGACATTAGTGAATCAGTTGGATTTTCCCGACAATTGGCAATGATTTCAAGGTCGTCATTAGACTCTTAACCCCACATCTACTTTTTATTGAATTCAAATTCCACCGTCTGCCATCATGGGATCTGAACCCAGGTCTCCAGAACATTACTTGGATTGCTGGATTAACAGTCCAGTGATAATACCACCAGGCCATCACCTCCCCTCCCAAACCTTTCCTGTTGTGACCCCATTTTGAAGTCTGAAAATTGTTGTGATCCCCGAACAAGGGCCAAGGTGATGGGAACCGGTGAGAACTTGTGGGGGTGGAAAGGAACATTGCAGCTTGGGTGATAGGGCAGGAATACAGCTGTTATACTAAGTTCAGAGCTCCAATGGCTTCCATTACAGCCTTGGAGCCCATGAACTCAAAATTTCAGCTCACAACCCTTTTTGGGTCCTATCTTCCCCACTTTGGGAAGCCTTGCCATTGAGAACAATTCCCCAACACAGGCATTCTCAATGTTATCAGAGAAAGCACACATAAAAACTGTAACAATAATGAAAAAAGGGTAGAATTAAACATGTACAAAAGGATAATTAATGTATTAAAGATGCAGAATTAGTACTTGGTATTCATTAGATGGTTTCTTAAGGAGAATAACACCAATGCAAAACTTCTTTTAAATTAGGAGAGGTGGAGTTCTCCAGCTAGGCTGACATTTATTGCTCTTGAGAAGGTGACGGTGAGCTGCCCTCTTAAAATGCTGCAGTCCTTGGAATGTAGGAACACATACAGTGCCATTAGGGAGGGACTTCTAATATTTTGACCCAATGATACTGAAGGAACACAGATGTAGTCCCCAGTCAGTGTGATGTGTCACTTGGAGTGCAAGTTGCAGGTGGTGGTATCCCTATATATGTACTGCTCTAGATGCTCGTGGTTGTGGGTTTGAAAGGTGCTAAGGAGCCTTGGTGAATTTCTGCAGTGCATCTTGTAGATAGTATACACTGCTGCTACTGAACATCAGGTGATTGAAGGAGTGAATGCAAATATGATGCCGATCAAATAGGCTGCTATGACTTGGACAGTGTTGAACTCCTTAAGTGCTGTTGCAGCTGCATCCATCCAGGCAAGTGTTCCAACACACTCCTAACTTGTGCCCTGAAGATGGCAGACAGGCTTCGGTGAGTCAGGAGGAGATGAAGAATTTCTGGCCTCTGAATAGCTCTTGTAGCCACAGTATTTCAGCCAGAGCACATTCCAAACATACAATCATTTCCACATCCATCCTGATTTGGAAATATATTCCCATTCCTTCAGTATCACTGAATCAAAATCCTGGAACTCCCCCTCTAAAAGCATTGTGGGGCTACTTACAGTACATGGACTACAACAGTTCAAGACTGCAGCTCAGCAAACCTTGTCAAGGATAACTAGGGATGGGCAATAAATGCCGGCCAAGCCAGAGACACGAGTGAATTTAAATAAAAATGACAAAGCTAGTACAGTTCAGTTTCGATGGCAGCGCCAAAATTTTGATAGTGAAGGGATTCAGCAATAGCGATACTACTGAAGATCAACTAGTTTGGAGTATGCAGAATTAGTCACTGTGCACCCACCAGATACATTCAACACCCAAGTGATGTGGAAATAAGGCATACATGTCTATCTGTGAAGTGCGAAGCAAAAAGCGACGATCGTGTGGAGTGCAGGCCACACAATGGGTATGAATCAAAAACAGAAACTGCTGGAAAAGCTCAGCAGGTCTGGCAGCATCTGTGGAGAGAAATCAGAGTTAATGTTTCGGGTCAAGTGACCCTTCCTTTGAACTTGACCCGAAATGTTAACTGACTTCTCTCCACAGATGCTGCCAGACCTGCCGAGCTTTTCCCAGCAGTTTCTGTTTTTGTTTCTGATTTACAGTATCCACAGTTCTTTCAGTTTTTATTTCGGTAGGTTTGAATGCCTTGCCTGATTTTGATATCAGCAAGTTAATCTTCCTTCTTGCCTTCCGCCTGACCACAGTTTCAACTTCAGGTGAAAAGGACCTCTTTCTGCATTTTCGTCTACTCCTCTTTCCCTCAGATGTACACGATTCCTGATGGATATCCTAAATGCAAAGTGACAAATGACAGGTTTTAAACTATGGGGTCCTGCAGGATCTTTCACTGAGGAATACTTAGTAGGTTCATGCTACACTCATAACCACAAGACAGGGTAGTCCCAAGGGACAGCTGCACTATCAGAGCTGAGTGGTTTTCAGACAAACAGAGTCCTATCTGCCCTGGTACATGACCATAAAAATTCTGCAGCACTATTTGAAGAGGAGGGGCGTTCTCTTCAGTAGCCTGGCCAAAACCTATCCAACCCAACACCAGTGTAACAAATTCTACTGTCATTTCTGAGGAAAAGTCAGTGGACTCAAAATATTAGCTCTGTTTTCTCTCCACAAATGCAGCCAGACATGCCGAGTTTCTCCAGCTATTTCTGTTTATGTTCTACGGTCATTTACCCTCTTCCTGGTTGTTGACACACGTAGAGTACAAACTGGACGCCACATTTCCATTCATTTCAAAAACAGACTACACTTCTGAATATCCCACTGGTTGAACTTTAGAACATTCTTAATTAGAAAAACAGGGCTATCAGCAGAAATCAGCTACCTGTCAATTTTGGTGAATTTCTTGGAGTTTTCTTCGGCTGTCTTCCCAAGCTTGTCTCTGCACCTCTATGGTGCCCCGTTCATTCTATGCTCCTACTCAACACAACATCTAAGAATCCTGGCAACAGAGCCATCTTTAAAATCCAGCTGTGCACCTGGTCAAGTGCTGGCAGTCGAGCATTGTCCTTCACAGTGCACATAGTGGGAGGACAACCACAAAGACGCATTGCTCAGGGCACATAGGTGCACGTTCATACATCTATTGCTAGTTACGCACCAAGTGACAAAGCTTACCCATCCTTAGCCTTGTCTCAACACACAACCCCATCTAAGTGAGTGTTACTCTTTCCTTAACACCTAATGCAACAATATCTTCTTGTCATTCAATATAGGACAATCATATACCACGAAGCCATCCAACCATTCAAAACATTCACTTTTGTTTAGTAACAGCAGAGGCAAACAATAAGTGAACAACAGAAGCTGCATTTACTTCTGGAAACAGACAGGGACTGCTTTCCCTTGGGGAACAAACAAATTTACAGTTAACGAGCAATCATCACAGCACCTAGCTCACACCTACTGGGAACCAGGAGTCAATGTCTGGCTTGTTGTGCTTGAGGCAGTAGTGCTCTGTTATGCAGAAAGTGATGGTCCTCTTGCTCAATGACTCATCTTCCTCCTTGGAAGACCTCTGCCAGTCTTCCAGCTCTTCAGCTTTCATTACACCCCTTCTTTGTTTTCTCCAGTTGTGTAAAGCACAGCAAGGTAGGATTATGCACTACACTCTAGCTAGAACGTTCTTTGCTTTTTTAAAAATATTCATTCATGGGATGTAGACATTCCGTATCACTGGATTAGCCAGTTTATTGTCCATCCCTAATTGCTTAAGTGGGTGTTGGTAGTAACTTTCTTGCTACGCATGCAGCAGTTCAACAGACAACGAATGAACTGTCAGGCTATTTCAGAACACGGCTAAGGATTAACCTCATTGCGCTGGGTCTGGGTCTGGAGTCACACGTCAGCCAGATTGGATAAAGACCATAGATTTCCTTCCTGAAGGACATTAGAAACATAAAAGTAAAACAAAAACAGGGGCAAGGAGTAGGCCATTCAGCCCTTTGAGCTTGCTTTGCCATTCAATATGATCACGGCTGATTATTGCTCTCAGTCCCCTGTTCCCACTTTCACCTCTATCCTTTGAACCCTTTAGCCCTAACGATAACATCTATCTCCTCCTTGAAAACATTCAATCCTTTGGCCTCAACCACTTTCTGGGGGGAGAAATTTCTCCTCATCTCTTTCGTAAATGGCCTAGCCATATCCTGAGACTGTGACCCCTGGTTACCAAGACTCCTGGGTCAACAGGAACATCCTTCTTGAATTTACCCTGTCTCCACTGATCTAATTAGTGAGCTCATTTAGCTCATCAGTAAGATAGATCAGAATTTATAATAATCCAGTCCTAACTTTTTACCCCCAATTTATTTTACCAATTGAGTTCAAATTCCCCAACTATCATGATGCTGTTTGAACTCATGTCTCTGAATCATTAGTGCAGGTCTCTGGTGGCTAGTCCAGTAATGTAATTACAATGCTACCTTGCAATACTTTGAATGTGGTATTAGGATGGCTCCAGACAGGGCAAGGCAGTCTGCACAGTATACTGCTGCAAAATTGTGTGCTTAAACTTGCCTCTGATGCATCAGAACTTACCACAGCCACATGCACGAGGTTCACATTGATCATTTTGTTTCCACTGGCCTGACTTTGCTTTGGTCCATCAAGCACTGATACAAGTTCAGATTCCTGGATCTGATCATCAGCAGCTGCAGCACAGAAAGAAACACAACATAACATACTGTCAAGAGCATGATAAATGTATCAAAATATAAGGATCCAAAGCTCTACTGATCTAAACCCAAATTGAGACATTATGGATAGGTCATAATAAATGATCTGATGGAGCAAAAACAAAGCTGCTGGAAAAGCTCAGCAGGTCTGGCAGCATCTGTGGAGGAGAAAACAGAGTTAA